CTGCAGCTCCTGCTCGTGCTCTTGCCAATAATGCCGCAGGGAGGCAGGGGCTGCAGCTGCAGCTCCTGCTCGAGCTGGCGTGGGAACAGGCCAGAAATAGCCTGTTCCGAAACCCAGTTTTCGTGCCTGAATCTTAGGGCAGGTCGAAACAAATGAGGGCCTAAAAATAGCCCAGGGCCTAAGAATAGCCCTCCGTTTCAGGTTGGAAAAACTCTGGGTCCCAGAAATAGGCTGAAACGGAGTAGGGCCTGCAGGCCCTCGTTTTTCAGTTTTCAGGCTGAAACGACCGGGGCCAATAGCTCCTAAGTCTTAGGCTTTTAGGCTGAATGTCCGGGACGGGTCCTACAGGGCCCGTGTGGCTACGCAGTATGCCACAGTATGTGTCCTGTTCACTATAGACGACTTTACAAAATAAACATGACTGTGTTAGTCGGTGTTGTTGGACTTTCATCGACTAATCACGAGGTTGAAGCCTAGCTTGCCCAAGATGTATTTGACTGATGGATAAGGAGTAACCACGTCACCCAGAGTTATCGATGCCTCCGAGAAAAGTAGTCTTCAAAATGAAACTGACCGTATTTGTGTGTGTGCGTGTGTGAGAGTGTTTGGGAGGATAGGACTCCCACGATGGATTGTGGCATGTCATGTTGGCCAGTATGTTTGAAAGAGACACTCTGCAATGAGCCAAGCATGCCCATGAAACGAATGCAAACAATATCATTCAAAAGGCAGCAAGCAAGTAAAAGGCATCAAGGCTGCACAACACAACAAGGAAGACAAAGGCAGCAAGGGGAAGAAGGTATCAAAAAAAGGCTTCAAAAGATAGTGAAGCATGAGGCATGGAAAAAGGGAAAAGTGTGGAGGACATAGTGGAAGTGGGTGGGTAGGCAAACAACATAAGGCAGAGATGGAAAAAGGCAGACGAAGGACAATAACACGAAGGGCATGAGGCAACCGGGCAATGGACAACAGGCTGCAGCACAGGGCATATGCTGGAGGGTACGGGGAGGCGGGAGGGAAGACAAAAAGCACAAGCCAGAGAAGAAAAAGGCGCCAAGCCAAACAATACTAAGGCAAACCAGAACAAACAAGCAAAAAGTACAAGTCCCAGCACAAAGTAAAGACCGGGGAAAAAACAACAAACCCTGATGATGGAAGATTGTTTTGTCGGAGTCCCACCAACTCATCAGGAGGCCGAACCCTCAAACCCTTTGACCCTTGTTGAAAGCAGACTGCAAGCAGGCAACATCGTAAGCAGAGCATAGCACCAGGAGACGGATAAGCAGAGCACCAGGCAACACTGTCGGGGGAACCCAACTTCAAAGCATCAAAGCTAACTGCATGGAACGACAGCCCAAGCAGACTGGCAGCAACACAACAGCACAGCGAATCACACAGCAGTGCTGCAGCAGTAGCAAAACTGCACGTCACACAAGCAAAAACCACGGGAAGACAAGGCATGCAGATGGAAAGCGAGGCAACATTGCAGCGAAGCACAAGGCAACACCAACAATGCAGCCAAACCACACAAGAACACAAATGCACGACACGAGGATCAAGCGGGATGGGCAGCAAGGCAGCTGTGGAGCATAAACAAGGCATTCCACACATCCAAGACCTACTCACACCACAAGTACAACCCCGTGAACTGTTGGTTCCCACCAACTGCTAAGCCAGGAAGCCACCCCGATGGACATTTACCATCACCCATAGACCATGTGCAATGCAGGCATCACAGACATAGCAGCTCTCCTAGTAGTCCTGCAGGCACTCGAAACCACCAACCACCAACTACTTACCACTTTCTTAAAGGTGCCCACCTAGACACACAAAGAGTACTTGGAAAAAACAAAAGAAGGAATGACATAAATAATTGTGTGCATGTCCGTTGTGCGTTGTGCGTGTGTGTGTGTGTGTGTGTGTGTGTGTGTGTGTGTGTGTGTGTGTGTGAGAGAGAGAGAGAGAGAGAGAGAGAGAGAGAGAGAGAGAG